CACACACACACACACACACACACACACACACACACACACACACACACACACACACACACACACACACACACTCAGAATTATTTTAAGCCCGGTCCTCTTCGGCTTTCTGAAAGGGCCGGAAAATAGTCAAAAAATCCCCAAACATTTTTTTTGGATGTGGGCCATGATCGAACCCGCTCCCCCTTCCAAAAAATATAAAAATAAAAATAAAAATTAAAATATATATATATTTTTTAATTCCGGACCTACCGGACCGGACGTCCGCCCGGACATCCAAACGCGGACGGTCCGGAATGGGTTCCGGACGTCCGAACGGTAACCATGGGATTTCTCCTTTTGCCCTGAAGAACAGGTGGTCAAGTTGGAAATCCACCATGAGGAGAAGGTGCGAAAGTCTAAATGACCACTAGCCTTCTTCTCCATGGGATTTCCCAAAGGTTGTTTTTTTACCCCTTGTCTTTATTTTAATCCATCTGATTCCTCGTTTGTGGAAGGAGTCGGCCAACCATCCAACCGCGGTTCTTATCTCCTTGTGTGAAAGTTTTGTGAACATTTCCTTAATGTCATATGTTCTCAACATAGTACGACCATTCATGCCAAATTCCTTATGTGTTTTCTCGTTTATTCTTCCCATTCGTGATTTCCAGCCACTAGTGGTTGGTAAGTTAAAATTATCCTTATTTGGTTCTTCATCAAAAAATGCAGAGATTTACTAAGGTAGCCAAACAAAGTCCTTGTGGGATTGGAAAAGGTGGGGACAATAGGTCTTCGTTTCTTCAGATCTTTGTCTTTTGCAATGACATAAGCATTTTGTAACCTCCCTTTACCATCCCAGCAGGCAATCTTGTTCAGTTTCGTCCCTTTGTAGTCATACCTCATATTAGTAGCTAAAATTTATGCTTTCGAATTTCCAACCTTTTCGTAGCTGCAATTAGCATTAAACATATCATCCATGCCTTTCATGTATCGTGTACGACACTCAATAATCGTTTCACCACTGTTTCTGTCTGCTGGGCAAAAAACCAGCACATCCAGTGCTTTCTTGATTCCATAGATATACTCTGTGCTGACCACCCCATCCTTCTGATCTTGGACACCCCTACTTACTTGGTACAAATGAATGCATACACGTTCATGGGAGTGAATCAAGCCCATTGCCTTAAGAGGAGCAACGACCACGTTGCAGGCCTTATTAATGTCAATTCTACCAGTCATTCCTCCCGGAGTTGGAGAGTTTTTTGAATTACAGAGAAAATATGGGATCTGATCGTGATTACTGAGTCGAGTCATGAGATGCCCATCAACTTTGGGAAGGTCAAAGTTCTTGCAAGGGCAGGCGACAAGCTGCTCCTTAGCAGACGACTTCTGATTGTGCAGGATGTCGACGATAATAGGAACTTTATCCCAAGCCACCCTGACCCGCTGCCTCAGAATTTCACTCAGTTTTTTATTTTCGATCTTTGTCCCAACCCAGTCACTCAACACGAACTTTATTTTTGATTGATTAACAAAAGGATTATATGGAATCTTCGCTGTGAGCCATACCCTCGGGTTGACACCAAACTTCCTTTTTAGTGTTCGTGTGAGAATGCCGCGTGTGATCTGTCTATCTCTTTGGGATGTCAAAGTTTTAACGGAAATCTCCATTTCCAGTAGTTCATCCAGTGACTCCTTCATGAGTTCTCTCCTCTTCCACGGTGCACAAAGTAGTGCAATAACCTCGACCTTTGTTCTTTCTTGGTTTCCTTTTGTTCGTTTTATATCCCATAGGAGCCAAGCCCCACCATTTTGGATCATCTCCTTTGCATCCTTTAATAGCAATCTCCTTCCATTAATTTCCACGATACTGAAGCCAAAAACCAATCTGATGAGCCTCCAGGCTTTTAGCCAGCAGCACCCTTGGTTATTTTCAATCACACTTCTCTTCCTTTTTGCTTTGTGCAGTAGTCTAATCAATTTCACGAGGTCAGGCTCAGATCTTATATTCTCCGAAGGACAGTCAAAGATCAGAGGTTCACCCAATTTTGAAGTGGACGTCTTCTCTTGTCTAGTCTTAGCTCTCGATCTTCTGGGTCTTTTTTCTTTTTTGGTCCTTCCATTCAGTCATGGGTTTAAACTTTTAATAATCTCTTTCTCAATGGCTCGAATTTCAGCTTCGTCGCCCCCAAACCAAATAGGTAAGGTGACATAATTCTTTACCCGAAACTTCCTTAGCCAGTTATGAACTTTTTGCTTGTTGTTTCCATGACACGAATAAATATGTTCCTTCCATCTCTGTTTCAAATTCCTATTCGTCATGCCCACATAAGTTAGTCTGCACGAGGGTGAGATAATCAAGCAGAACCATTAACCACCCTGTCCAACTCTTGATCACTCATTCGTTCCCAAAACTTCCGGTACGGTAAGCCCTATTTGATTTTTCCGGTAAGACTACAGTAAAGTACAGTTAGTCTTCAAATTTGATCAGCAAACTGCTCGTCGATGATCCTCTCATCAGAAAGTCTTTGAATGCGTGAAAAACATCGGAGAAGAGCTCTCAGGGACCAATTCTCTAGTTTCCCTGGATATCTTGGTCTCTACCATTGGAGACCGCACTCTCATTGGGGACCGCAACCTTTGCACCGTTCTCCTCCATCTCTCTCAAGCATCTCATATACTCTTCCACGTCCAGGCGGGTAAGTTCCATAACACTCAATCCTTTCCTCGTGTATTCTATATTCTGTTCCTTGCATAGTGCCATAATGTGTGTGTAATACATGGAACTATAGCTCTCCACCCGATTCTTCATGTACCCTGTCAAACCCAGCTCATCTCTGTCCTCCGCATGATCACACCTGTCGTGGTCTCCATTCTTCGTACTGCACTCGCCTTTCTCTTTGTGTCCCGTCTTCTCCTTTTCTGACACTCCGGTGTTCGCGGCCATCCTCGTATGTCCCAAGTTCGTCACTAGTTGTTTCAGGAGGTCCTTTATTTCCGTCATATCCCCAGCGGCCTTCTCCTTGCCCTTCCCTTTAACCTCATCAAATTTCCTCGTCAGATTCCCCCTCCCTTTCCGTACGAGTTCTGCCCCATCATCGTCATCCTCATCTGACGGGATGAAAACCCTCTTGGTTGGCGCTTTCTTGGTCTTGGCCGAAGACTTCACGTGGATCCGGTCCATTCTAGGAGAGATGGATGGAGTCGAGGGATGCCTTTTCCTCTTCTCGCTGCTTGAGTCGTCCTTCAGCTCCAGTAGCTCCTTTTCGGCACGGAGGCGCTTAAGTTCCTCCTTCTCGTCCTCGACAAGCTTGGACTTCTTATCCACTTCATCTAGTTTTTCGGTGAGGAACTTCAACGAATCGCCGAATGTCTCTATAACCCACTTCTTCATCTCCTCTTCTTTATCCTCTGTCTTCTTCTTGCCGGTGTGGGCTTCACCTCCGTCTGCTGCTTCGCTGCTTCTTGCACGACTTCCTTGAATTTCAATTTCTCCAGAAATTCCGCTTGCTCCTTCGTAAAAAATGTCCGGTTTGGATTCCCACTCCCCCGCCAATTTCCATTATTGTAGCCATATCCACCGTAGTTGTTCCCATACCCGTTCCCGTAGTTACCTCTGAATTGTCCAGGCTGTGGTCCCGGCGGAGGAATCGGTGCTCAGTAAGGCTGCCCGAACGTGGTGAAAGGTTGGTAATAAGGGAACATAGGGGGAGGGGGAGGAGGAGGGTGAGGAGGGTGAGGAGGGTGAGGAGGGTAATTTGGAACAGGAGGGTTAGGAGGAAAGCCATTAGCATTCGCTGATTGGTCCATTCAGTATCTGCCACAGCCAGACCACCTCCCTCGTCCTCTACCTCTCCCTCGCTCTCTTCCGTTCATAAACTTTAGCTAGGCGGGGAACTCCCAACCGAGATACTTACTTCTGCTCAGCTACTTCTAAGCCCCGCGTCTCGTGAGTGTAAGTCGACGCCAAGCAACTAGCTCTAATCGTAACTGCTGCTCCCCCTTAGTTAGCTTCTGGCTCGCGCTTGAGATCACTACAAAGTTCGCCGTACTCAATCACGTGTCTAGTGGCAGGGCAGATGGGAGTGTGCGAGGGATCACGCCCGCGCCTAGCAAGGCACCCCAATCCTGACGACTCCGAGGCACATCACCATCTCCATCGCTCAGGCTTAAGTTTCTTTCTTGTGAATACCACAGATTACGCCCAACGCTACCACGTGTGCTGTGGTAGGACTCATTAGAGCGAGCGAAAGATCATGCCGGCACATAGCAAAGAAGCAAAGCGCCACAGACCCGAGGCGAAATCACGACCCACGTCACACCGGCATGCCTCTTTTAGGTTGTAGTTACGGGGGCTTCAACTATTTCGCCTTCTCAAATTCTTAACCAAACACGTGTTAAAAATAAAAATCCGAAAAAAAATAATATTATGATTATTTTTTATGAAAAAAATTATGTTTGCCCAAACATATTCGTGAGCTGTTCGCGCGAACACACTCACGTGATGCGGAGGGGTGGGAACACGTTCGCCGTGCTACGCAGCCTAGGGCTGGTCTTTTCAATGATGATATGAGTTACCTGAGGCTGGTCTATTCAATGATGATATGAACTACCTGGGGCTGGTCTGCTTAATAATGATATCTCAAGGTTGTCACCCTTTCAAGAAAACGAAAATAAATGAGTTAAACTATTTTATTGTTCAAACTAAATGCACTTCGCACTTTTTCTTCTCATGCGATTTATCAGCTCTTGTTGAACAGTCGTTCATAACTGACCATTGGACGATTGAAACTTTGCGCCAGTCTTGTCCAAAGTGCACTGCACACATCGTACCATATTTTTTCCCGAGCATGGCCGTGTAAATCCTTATTTGGAATTTAAAGACGCAATAATCTATCTGAGCATACATTCGACTTTTTTTTTTTCTACTCATATTTCAATTCATTTCCCGTACGACATAAATCATATATCTGAGCATATTTCAAGACTAAACTTCACGTAATTTTACTGCAGTAATTCGTCGAAATATTCATTATACTCATATTTCAATTTCTTTCCAATAGAATATAAATTATAAGTCTGCAATTAAACCACCACTACCCCCGCCGGCCTAAATTCGACTTTCCTGGCCTTACGGACCGGATTCTTAGGGGGGCCACGACCAACAGGTGCAGGCGGACCTCTTTCTTTCACTGGTGGCCTTGGCCATTAGCGATAGATAGGTTAGACGGACGTGTCGGCAAATCTTGGGGTTGTTGGAAGTCAGGTGGACTTGAGTTGAATGTTGTTTTTCCAATTATTTTCGGATTTTACTTGTGTTGTGTCCACGTCCTTGCGTCATGCTTGCGTCCCAAGTCAAATCATGAATACGTCATTTGTATTCACGCATGCTAATTTGCTTCATAATTCCTGGTCCAAGGATTTTCAAGCGCCAACTTCGGCAATTTTACGCGCTTAGAAAAATTGATCTGAAAATTTGAGATCCTGAAGATTAGGTTGCGAGTTTTTCAGAAAAAATATCAGAAAAATAAAAATAAGAAAAATTTAGACCGTGAAATAAATGTCGTGCAGTTTCGTTGCATTTTTCATTTTTGTCATTCTGACACGTGTTGGCCAACGGAAAAAGTACCCCAACTTTCGCAATTTTTTGCGCTCATAACAATTACTCGAGAACTCTATAAATTTAAGGGCCTGTAAATTTTGTCGTGATCTTTCCATGAAAAATATTTCAAAAAAAAAAAAAGATTTAAAATTATGAAATAAATGTCGCGCCAAACAGTGCTATATTCCACATTTGCTGCTTTTTGCTGCTCTATCACGTGCTGGCCAACGGGAAAAGTACCCCGACTTCAACGATTTTTCCCGTCTATTACAATACACCAATAAGTCTGGAAATCGGAGGGTATGCAAATTTTGTCATGATCTTTATAGGAAAAAATAAAAATAAAAAAAATCCAACAAAGAATAAAATCGTGGGGGCAATTCGATGCATTTTCCAATTTTGCCACTCCGACAGTTCCCCCCATTGTGTTACCGATAGCTCTCATGGACCCATGCTACCGGTCCCCCTAATTTAAAACGGTGGGGGTAGTGGTTTAGGCGTATTGTTTTTTTTCCATTTTTGCTCGTAGTTTTGTGTCAGTGTTTCCCTTTTCCGTGTTTCTCGCTCGTGCCTTGCTACCTGTTAATTCTACTTGATTGTGAGTACTTTGCACGATGGATTGACGTACGCTGATATTATTCAAAGTTTAGCGAGAGGTGGCTTAGCTTTATTTTTTTGACAAATATTTGCCAACTCCTGAGTAGGAGTGGTTTTAAACCACTAGTACCTCGCTCAGCTATTGAATCCGAGCCTCCCGGCACGCTGCGCGCCAAGTCCTGCCGAACCGCCGTTGCAAATTTCTTTTTCGTTTTGCCTGCGGCCTCCAACCAATGCGGTCCGGCAGGCCGAAGCCCAAATGGCGCAGCGCGTATACGGGAAGCGCCGCGGCCGATAGCTGGGCCAGGTACTGGTGGTTTAAGGGAGATAGTTTATCTTTTACGAGATGAAGGAAGATATTGGATGAGGGTGTTGAAATCGAGCTGCCCATGGCACAAGGGTGCGGCACCATCTGAGGTTTAGGTAAGGGGAACGTCCAGCCCCGTCATATTTGGAACTTGATTGACACGTTAATTGTTGTATAGCCTTAAAAAAAAAACCCTTCGAAACATTTAACCACCAGTACTTGGCCCAGCTATCAGCAGTGAGGGTAGACTTGGGAACATCTCTAAGAAATGCACCCCCCCCCACGGTTATTGGAAAAACAAAACAACCCAAATATCTCGACTCACCTGGGTACCAGCCCTGGCAGGAGGGCATTCCAGCTGGGTAGTTGGGCCGGGGTGACTCTGGTAGCCTAGCTTGGGGGCCCTTTTCCGCAAAGGAAAATACAAATATTCAGTATTAGGCATGAAGTCACCAGTACTTGGCCCAGCTACTGACCACGGCAAAAAATAGAGTCAAAACGTTTCTAGTCGGATGAATTTGGGCGCTTCTGTAGTGGCGCATACGTTTCCTAGAGTCGTGGCTTGTTTTCGGGCACGACTTTAGGAAGTACTGGTGGTTTAACTGACAAGAAGGCCACCAGAAGTTGCTACTAAACCAGGACAAGATACAGAAGAAAAAGAAGGCATGGCTTCCATTTTTCAGAGACATTTAAACCACCTGCTCCCCCACGCGTTGGAAACTCGAGCGAGTCCAGCGCATTATGGAGAGACCATGGAGTGGGGTCCACCTACCAGCTGCAAGGGGTCGGTGGCCATGCACAGGAAATTTGAGTACACCGATTGGGAAGTATTATCGTGCTCAGTATTGTGCATGAAAATTCTGAACAAAACTCAGGCCCAGAGATTTGGCTTTGACGTTCTCAGGCAAATTTACTTTAAAGATCAAATAAAAAAATCTACGACTTCAAATAACTTTCGGCGGCAGATGTTCACTTTTTTTCTTTTTCCCTGCTGCTACTGGTAGACTCAGAACTTTTCTGATTTCTGGCCATGCCTCTAGTCTGATTTTCGAAACGCCATGCGGACTGGTGGTGAACAATGCACAGGCCAAATATGACCCTTCAGAGCAGATGTCAATTCCACCCTGACGGCACCTTTTGCCCCACCCCTCCTAGGGACCAACCCTGTGGCCAATCGCGTCACCACCCAAGAACCCCCCTGTAGCAAAGAAAGAGAGTGAAGGGAAGGGAATTTGGAGACTGGTTGGAGGACTGTTGATATCTCAGGAGGATGTACTTTGCATTGACTATGGGCTCCAAACTATCGGTCGATGCCAAGGGTTTCGATATGGCAAATGCCAATTCCTCCACGATAGCACATTCACCCCACCCCTGCGAGGGACCCTCCTTCCTTCTCCCCTCTCACCCGAGTGGAACGGGAGAGAAAAGGGAATCTGGAGAGTCTGACTGATTGAAGGACTGTTGATGTTTCAAGATTTTCTCTGCCCTCAGTACGACCCTCGGCGGACATTGCTGATTCCAAGTCCTTTTTTCTTTTCCTTCTCAGACCTTGCTCGCCAAGACGCGCCGCATCCTTGCCATGGCAGAGGGGAGGATGAGATCCACGCGTGTTACCATTTGTTTGTCATTGCAATTTTTCCTGTTCATGACACGGAAGGAAGGTTGAAACATGAATTGAAATGAGTGCGCCGGTACATGGCTCAAGGCCATACGATGTGGGCTGGATGGTACCAACACACACAACTCCAACCACCCCCTCCAAAAACAAGAAGGCAAACAGCCACGAAAAAAGCGAACAAAAAAGAGGAGCAACATACCCTTTGCACTGCCAGGTTAGTGGAATTATGTTGCCTCAGTTATACAATGTAGGTTGGGTCTGGCCCCATCTGGGTGATAGTATGTGGGTTGAGTCATGCCACATGGGGTGGGTCATACCATGTGGATCTCACAGTACTATGTGGGATGTGGGTTGTCCCTCGCTATGCTATGCGGGGAAGGTCATACTATGTGGACCACACTCTTCACACGGAAATAACCCCCGGGCGTTGCATACGAATATAACGCCCGCCGGGCGTTGGGCGTTATATTCGTTTAACGCCCGCCGGGCGTTGAGCGTTATATTCGTTTAACGCCTGGGCATTATATTCAGTAAATTGGTGGCAAGTTTGGTGGGGCCCCAAAATACCGAAAAAAAAAAATCAAAAATTTATGTAAAAACAATATGTTGTCCAGAATTGCAATGCGACCATCTTTTGGCTGAGGGTCACCACAGAATTCCTTCTAAACTCGAAAATAAAAAATAAAAACAAAAACCAAGCCGAAATACGCCCCTTGGAAGTCAAAACCCCTTTCAACCCCCTTTAAAACCCATATATACCCCCCTCCCCGCCCTTTCAAACCCATGTTTACTACCTCTACAAGGCACTCTGCCGATGGAACATTCAAATATAACGCCCAGGCGTTATATTCGAAGGGCCGTTCTATTTGAGAAAAACAGAGTAAAAACGAAAATCTGATCTCTTAGGGTAAGCTGAATATAACGCCCGTGCGTTATTTTCGGGTGAAGACGATAGGTGGCACCATGCGGGCAGGTGTGCATGGTACTATGCGGGTTGGGTTGCGCTGCGTGGGGCGGGTCATACTATGTGGACGACATGGCCCAGGTGATAGTGTGTGGGTCTAGTCGTAGTAATTGGGGCAGGTGGTAGCATGCGGACTGCATGGCACCATGTGGGCTGACCAGTAGAGTGTGGAGTAGGTGGGCAATGCTAAACTGCAATTTACCGTAGACGGCCAGCTGAGTGTGTGATAGGCGGGTGATGCTAGAACGGGCCTGCTGTGTACCATGCCGCTATTTTTTTTTCGTTTTTACAACTGCCTTGAGGTATCGGCTTCAAACCAACCAGTCCCGGGTACATTCAGAGTTATTTGAGGGCATACGGACACCAGTACTTTCCAAAGCGTATCTGACCGCAATTATGGCCAGAGACCTGGATGAATCTGACCTTAGTAACAGCCAGAGACCGCAATTGTGGCCAGACCTGAATGAATCTGACCTCGGTAATTTCCAGAGCTCAGTAGAAAAAGTCCTAGTGTGAACGTCCTCTGAGTCGGTAGGGATTCGAACTCGAGTCGTTATTTGAACCGGTCGTGGGTGCACCAACTGAGCCAGCCCCCTCGGTCAAGTTGCTATCTACTTGTATTCCAACATCCGAGTCCCGATACAACAAAACCCTTGATGGCCGCGATTATAGCCAGGCCTGGGTGAACCTGACCTCAATAGCGTCCAGATCTTAGAGGACAAAGTACTCGTGTGAATTTCCTCTGAGTTGGTAGGGATTCGAGCTCAGGACCTGGATGAATCTGAGCTCAATAGCATCCGGAGCTTGGTAGAAAAAGTCCCGGTGTGAGTTTCCTACGAGCTCGGTCCATGGGTGTATCAACTGAGCCAGACCCTTTTGTCAGGCTGCATCAGCGCCCAAAAGCGACAAACCCCTAGATGACCGCTGTTATGGCTAGACCTGGATGAATCTGGCGTTCAGAGCTGTGAGTATGCTCTGAGTTGGTGGGGATCCGAGCAGAGGTCCCCATTTCAACAGTTTGTGGATGTACCAACTGAGCCAGGACAGTCCGCCATGCTGCAATGTACTTGTATTCAAACGTTCGCACCCAAAAACAACAAACTCCGCGTGGCCCTCAAAGCCACGGCCATCGGGCAAAAACAACAAACTCCACACTAGGAAGTGAAAAAGCAAACCCCAAGCGGCCCTCGAGGCCACAACCGTCACACAAAAACAACAAACTCCACGCTGGGAAATGAAAAAGCAAACAACGCACGGACCTTGAAGCCACAACCGTCGGGCAAAAACAACCGACTCCACACCAGGAAATAAAAAGGCAAACCCCGAGCGGCCCGTGAAGCCATGACCAACGGCCAAAAACAACAAGCTCCATACTGGGAAGTGAAAAAGCAATGTGGACCTTGAAGCCACAACATCGGGCAAAAACAACGAAGGCAAACCCCGCGCGGCCCTCAAAGCCACGGCCATCGGGCAAAAACAACAAACTCCACGCTGGGAAATGAAAAAGCAAACCCCAAGCAGCCTGTGAAGCCATGACTGTTGGGCAAAAGCAACAAACGCCACGCAGGAAATGAAAAATCAAACACCGCGCAGACCTTGAAGCCACAACCGTCGGGCAAAAACAACAAACTCCACACCGGGAAACAAAATAGGCGAACCCCGAACAGCCCACGAAGCCCTCACCGTCGAGCAAAAACAAAACTCCACGACAGGAAATGAAAAAGCAAACCTCACGTGGCCCTCGAAGCCAAGACCATCGGGCAAAATCAACACACTCCATGCTGGGAAATGAAAAAATAAAATAAAATGTGTATGCCATGGAAACACGACATGGGACTCTTTTTTTCCTGGGCCCACGGGAAGCAACGTCCGGGGCCAGCTTTTTTCCTCTATGGATGGATGGAAAGTTGGAAACTGATCAGAACAGATACTACACTTGAGCTTAGACAAACAAAAATCTAAGATGTCAAAATAATTCGGATTCCCGAAGAACACTTGAAATTCAAATTCGTCGTACGATTGTGCAAGGGATCTTGAAAGAAAGCCACCGCCTTGGTGAAGTAAGAGAAGACAGGTGAATATCTTGGACACATTGAGGTTCAGAGAAGAAGAAACGCACAGCAGAACATTGCAAGGACTTAAAAAAAATGCAACATATACAAAAGAGGAAACACAGATAAACGAAAAGAAATTGAAAAATGCATCAGTGGTTTCCTTCCACTATCAAACATCTGCAGAAAAAGACAGATTTAATTGTCCCTCAACTCTGCGATTCCTTTCATCTTATTGCAGAACAGCACTGCCCCCTGCTGCAGCATTCCTTGAAGCAACAAGTTCAGCCCATGCCTTCGCTCTCTGGGCACCTTCCTTCCACCGCTTCTTTCGTTCAGCATCCCTCTTCACTATGGCATCCTTTCTTCCTTGAATCTGCTCTTGCGCTTGATTCTGCAGAACATTCATTCAACCACAAGAACAAGCTCCCTGTTAATCTCTTTCCATGTGCATAATCAGCGCTCTCTCTCTCTCTCTCTCTCTCTCTCTCTCTCTCTCTCTCTCTCTCTCTCTCTCTCTCT